GAAATGCAGTAGAATTAATGATAGCACGTTTAGATTCTCAGTTAAAAGCTAAATTATTAACATTAATGAGTCAGAAAAACTCTTTGACACTAGAAACAGAACAACTGGAAGCATTATTGCAAGAAGTAGAGCATCAATTACACACTTGTACTCGTTCTGAACTTATAATTAAAAGTGCAGATCTTTCGCGAATGATACATCAAGTACGAAAAAAACCAATGACTAGTTTTGTTACTGCTCCTGTTCCAGCAGATTTTCATAGGTATTTGATTTTTAATATATTTTTAATTACAAAAAAAATATTTCATAATTTTATATTTCTTATAATAATTATAATTATTTTAGTGAAATTGTTCCGGGATATGACAGTGCTACATTTGCAATGCAAAATTTTACACAATTACAATTAAAAGCAGATCCAGTATATTCTGCACCTTTACATGTTAATGGATTATGCTGGAGATTAAAAGTATATCCTGATGGAAATGGTGTTGTACGCGGAAATTATTTATCTGTTTTTCTAGAACTAAGTGCTGGTTTGCCAGAAACATCAAAGTACGTAAGAATGATTTCATTTTTAATCATATTTTATTCAAAAATAATTTTTTTTAGATATGAATATAGAGTAGAAATGATTCACCAAGGATCTCGTGATACAAGTAAGAATATTGTTCGAGAATTTGCTTCTGATTTCGAAATTGGCGAATGCTGGGGATACAATAGATTTTTCAGATTAGATTTGCTTGCAACTGAAGGATATTTAAATACCGAATTGGATACTCTTATATTGCGGTATGTTTTATTTTCACTGATGTACAATAATAATAATATTCAAGTATAATATAAAAATAAATAATAGGTTTCAAGTACGTCCACCAACGTTTTATCAGCGTTGTAGAGATCAACAATGGTATATCAGTCAATTACTTACAGTTCAAAATCAATATGCTACTCAAATTAATGAATTAAAAGAGGTAATATGCAAATTTAAAATATCTAATTATATATTATATTCATATATAAATCATTTTTTTTATATAGAGATTAGCAATTGAAATATCACGGAATGCTATGGCAGCAACTCGAGTACCTAGTGGAGCAACTTTATGTGGATCAACATCAAATGTGACACCTATGATTATGCAACAACAATCACAAACTGCTGGTGATTCATTACTTAATTCCAATTCTACTCGTTCGGGTGAAACATATCAAAATAGCACATCCACAAGGTAAAATAATTTTTTTTTTCGAAATGATATTTTAAAAAAAAAAAAAAATATTTGAAAATTTAAACCTTATATAATTTTTAGTAGATCAGTACAAAATGTACTTCCTGGTGGAAGTAACAGTGATGTTTTATCTGGAGATCAATTAATGCCTATGTGTGAATTAGGAGAACCTTCAAATATGCGTCCTCTTGGTTCTTCTTCGACATTATCTTCTATTTCATCGAAAACAAGTTTAAAACAACACAGAGTAAATAACTTAAGCGTCGTTGAAGCTGAACCACCTAATATGCATAGTACAAATGATAGTTCTGTGGGAGATTGTCCAGCTACAAGTACTCATTCTCCACCTCCTTCATATTCTTCACCAACAGTTAATCAACAACAACTGAATCTTTTGTCTAGTAGCAGCAGTAGCGATAGTGGAGTAAGATATTTAAATTAATAAATTAAAATCAATATAATTAAATATATTTATGGATTTTAATTTTGATTGATTTATTTATTACTAATAATTTATGTTCCACTTTATTTATTAGTATAATTTATTTCAGGAATTAAGTGAACATGATATATATTTGGATGAATGCGAACATAATGAACCACATCTAACACTTTTGGATGACAATTCTAATGATGAAAATGATGTAGATGATGAAACAATGTCAGGTATAACATAAATCCTTTATTATTATTTTATTAAATATAATAATTTATAATATTAAATTATTCAAACAAGCTATATAAATTCCTTTTTATATTATTTTATCATATATATATATATATATATATATATATATATATATAATATGTATATATACATACATAATATAATACAATAATATACTGAATTAGGTACAAGTTCAAACAGAGGTTCTATAGATAATGTGCAGAGACAACGGGAAAACAAGTTAGATAAAGGTGTTGAAAATGAAAAGCCCACGAATGAGAAACCAGATGAAGATTTTATGAAAGAAAATCCCACTTCCCATACTCCTAATCATTTTCAAACAGTTTTATAAGAAATTATCTGTCTTTTTTCAAATTAATCTCCGTCCTTTTATGTTTCATTTTATAACGAAAAATAAATATTCCTATATATGTACTATAATATTCAAGTTGATAGAAACTTGATCTTAATTTACTTATATTGTTTGTGTTATCTTACATGAAATAATTTTAAATATCATATATTTTGAGTTATTTATAATATTTTTTAGTTACATCATAATTAATATATTTATTAATTAATAAAAATATATTTGTGATATTGTCGTATTTGCAGGAGAAAACGACGTAGAAGTTGCCGAATCATTATCAGCGTGGATTCAGAATAAACAACGTACAAAACAACAGAATAATCGAGAAAGTACAGGAGATATTTGGAGGTATATTATTGAAAATAAAATTTTATTATGATTATACTTTATAAAATTAATAATTTAATTTTATTATAAATAGATTAGGAGGTACTGATAGTTTGGAAGATGAGATTATGTTGCAGTTATTTGAGATGCAAGATCGAAATTCTGCTTGGGCTTCATTATGTTTTAATCAACATGTAGATGATACTTGTGATTCAAGAACATCTTTAACGACTATACAACATCATAATTCTAATCCTTTACAACCAGAACATGATTCAATATGTAATGAACAATTTGCTGACAAACGTTCCCCATGTCCTTCACATCTTTGTCAACCTCAAATAATATGTAGTGGTAGATCAAAATTAAATCAATTACCCAATATTTGTCAGCAAGAAATTTCTGGATTAATAGCTTGTGGAAGTCAAACAAGATCTGAACCTGCAACTCGTTCAAATTCAATAGACTGTGAAAAAGAACTTCCAAAGATATCTATGGTTAATAAAGTTAATCACGAAGTAGAAATATCTAGATCTGATTTGATAGTGCCAAATGGTAAATAAAATTAAAAATTTATATAAATTATATATATATATGTATTCATATTTATCATATGAAGTATACTTTTTCAGTAGTACTGGATAGTAATAAAATAGTATCAAAACATTTATTATCACGACGACAATCTTCGCCATCATCGTCTACTAATGTTAATATTATAAATAATGAAAATAGCAAAATATTTGAATTTGAACAATTGCTGGAAACTATTCAATTATCTCCGATATCTCAAAAAGATACTGCCAGTTGTTTCAATAAATTAAGGTATCGATTTTTTTCTAATTATTTAAAAAAAAATGTATGCATTTTTGTTTTTAATATTTAAAAATTATTTATAGGAAAAATATTCCATTAGAAGGAAAATCTAATGGTTGCGTCACTGCCACTATAAAATCTACTGCACTTTCTTTAGGACATGATGTTCCATTATCGTCCACAAGCAGCACAGATGCTATTCCGAGTTCCAATAATTACAGTTGGGCGCCTGCATTATATCAACATAAACACGGTAAAATTATTTTTATAAATATAATATAAAATAGCTAAATATAATAAAAACCATAAATCATTAAAATAATCTTTTATTCTAGGTCAGAAAAATATTTTAGAGGCTACTGCATCATCTAATGATACTTCCAATAAATGTACTGCAGAAAAGTAAATACAATTTTCTATTTTATTAATGAAATATCTATATAATTTTATAATTTTATATATAAATATAATAATATTTAAAAATATAAAATTATATTATTACAGATCGTTAGAAGAAACTAATTCGTGAAATTAAATTTGAGCTGTATCTGTGACATTTAATGCTATGAATATTCTGTGATTTTTTTTTATTTACATATATACAATGTGTTAATTAATATTATTAAAGCGATAAGTAATAAGAATTAGAGACTTGATTTGAATATTTTAATGTATATTAGTGGTAAGTGTAATATTTTATTAAAGATATTTTTTGTATTAAATATTGTAAAAAAATATTGCATGTTTATTTTATGATTATGTCAATACTGTTTAAATCTTAATTGGATATCAGTATTACAATATTGATTTTTTTTCAGTTTAAAAAAATATATAAAAAAAAATATTATGTATATAAAATATATTCAATTCTAAGTAAACTTATATTCAATTATTAATATATTGTATAATATCAAAATACTCAATATGTTTATCTCTGCAATTGGTTATGGTATTATAAATATTATAAAAACAAATTTTATATTATTTTTATGTGATTGCTTGTGAATATACATAAAGCGAGCACAGCCCATGACAGTAAAATAAAATAAAGAACATTAAATATATATTCTTTATCTATTATATACTGTTAAATCTTATTATAAGTACATAAATTAACTTTTAATAACAATGTGTCATTTTAGTGGAATCAAAATATAAATTAATTACTGTTTGCAGTTCAGGCTTTGGTGTTTATTACATTTGCATGATATTTATATAATAAAAATGTCATTAAAATATAAATCATTTCTCACTTTTATTATACATATATTCATACATACCTATTATCACATATAAATTGGGTTAAAAACCAGAAGATATTTATCTGAACTGCCAACAGTATTTTAAATAGAAAATTATATGTGGTACACAATTTGTACAAATTTTATGTTTCATTTCATATATCATTGTTGCTTTTTATAATTTTTTTTAAACAAAAATTTATTAAAAATTGTTTTAAAAAATTCAATGATGAACTATATCACAAATAAAAAAAATTTTTTTTAAATTTTCTTTTATGAAAATATTTTTTTAAATATTATTCTTTTTAATATTATGCGCGGGATACATAATAAGGAAAAAATAACTATTTTATCATACTATTATCTTGTATTCCAATTAAGGAATATAAATTGTTAAGTAGTATTATATGTTATTCCATTTTGCATATATTCAACAATTAATTCATTGCAAACTTTTTCATCTTCCGGATATTCTCTTGCTTTTTCTTCATTTGGTATGTAATGTGCACCACTGAACTTATAAAAATATCTGCCAATTGCATGATGATTTATCCATTCTGGATTAGGAGCCAGTAATAAATTTTCTAATAATAAATTCATATATTAAAAATATTTTGCTTTTTTTATAAATAAAAACATATAAATAAATATATAATAATAAATAAAAACAAAGTAATAAATAATTTTACCTTGAGCTGCATATTGACATGAACCATCATCTACAAATATTTTATAAAATGGTTGATCTGCACCTTCTTCTAATCCATCTACGTTCATTTCATTCATCCATTCTGTAGATGCCATACAACGGACATCCCATCCTGTTATTACACATAAATATCCATATATTTTATGTTTCATTATCAATCCTATTGCATATTTTACACTTGGAATTCTTTTCTTTGGTTTTATTTCTTCCTGAATAAAGTATAAGGAATAAATATAAATTATAAATTTTTATATAAACTTTATTATAAAATTAAAATAAATTATTATTATTTAAAAATTTTAACAAGCATTACCTTAGGTTGTAATCTTTTTTGACATTTTTGGAGTGTTTTAAAAGTCTGTGAAATCATATTTGCTTGTCCTCTTGACATTAACTCCAAATCCTATAAATTTTAATAAGACTTTGATACAAAAATAAATTTAATCCTTCATAACATATATTATCAATTTTATAAAATACCTTTTGCATATTTTCTAATATTTTTACCAATTCAGTCAAATCCATATGTTGTGACATATATATTCGTCCTAATTGTAAAACTGTGTTTGTATCATTGGGTTGTATCATATATCGAAGTTCAAGTGCAGAACGTAATCTTGCAGTTCTATGAGTACCATTTATATGAGTATGTTGTCTAGCAGCTATTTCTAAATTATTTGCCATTCTTGTCACTACCTATTAAAAATTATTCCTATTATAAATTGAAAGAATAATATGTAACAATGAATTTTAATTCAAAAAAACTGTCAACCTCTACAGCAGTTGCTTCTTCATGAACATTATATTTTTCTATTGGACATCTTGAAACACCTCCAATTCTAGGACAATTTTTTTTAGTTAGAAATTGACCACCATTGAAGACATCAATATAATAATTTTCAGTGTCCTTAAATTCTGGTGCACTAAAATGAAACATAGAAATATTTAAAATAAATTTAATTAAATTAATGAAATTTGATATCAGATAATTATTAATAACAATTAAGATTCTATAAGAATTTTTGTTTTTAGCAAAAACTTAAAATAAATATATTCATTATCTATGAATCATATTAATAATAATTGAAAACTTACTATGTTTCTTTCCATCGTAATAAAAAATGAGATGGAAAACTAACAGGCTCACAGCGTATACCAAGTCTTCGAGCAATACTTTCAAATACTATTGCTAAAGTTATAGGAATTCCGCGTCTACGTTCTAAAACCTAATAAAAAAATTTTATATACATTTAAAAGTAATTTCATATATAAAATAATTTGTTATTGTTTTATTTTTTATGTTTATTCATAACTTACGCGATCTATGAACGAATTTTCTGATGAATAATACATTTCACTATTTCCATAAAATCCTAATTTTTCAAATAATACTTTACATAATGCATCTGTTACTTGTCTTGTTTCTGAAATATTCCATTGATTGTCATCAATAATATTATTTTTCCAAAAGATAAATCTCTCTGTGGAAATTGAAAATATAGAATGATTTGGATGTTGTTCTCTGAGTAACTCTTTTGTTTGTTCTGCAATGTTATCTAATATTGATGATATTGTCGGATATGATACATGTCTTTCTGGTTGACTCCATTGTGCTACAATAGTTGCACCACGTTCTAAAGTTTGTTGTTTTGATGGTAAAGATATAAACTTTTGCCATTCACTTTTCAAATGAGTTTGTTTCAAATATCGAACAACTTTGAGAGCATAATATCTATGTGTTAAATTGCTTACTCTAGAAATATTAATGTTATTAAATAATAATAAATTCTAAGAAAAAATATATTTGTTATTGATATACTTACATAGCAGGACATTTAATCAATGTTATAAGTTCATCTATTAAAAAATAATAAGCTAAAGAATGAGCACCTTCTTTTGGACAAAATAATGAATCAAATTCTTTAAATTCAGAATTAGATAATTCTTGTTTTTTATGGTGTTTATTAGACATAGAAGATAAAAGACAAAGTAATTTGGTTCTACTATTCAAACTAATTTTTACTTCTTCTTTCCAGTTTATCATCTGATGCTCTAGTTCTTTATTTGTTTGATATACTTCTTTTAAAAGTGGCCATCTATTATTACAAAAAAATTAAATTAAATTAGATCAAATAAAAGTACTTGTAAAAATTATTTTAATTTCATTTAAAAGATTTTGTATTTTGTTATAATTAAGAAGAATAATGTTTTTTGTTAAGTTAAGTGTATATATATGTTTGATTTTTTATTGTAATTTCTCAATATTCAAATTGATAAATACCTTTGAAAAAATTTAGTTTTCCAAAGTTTATTATTTTCGTTGACAATTTTGTACAAACTTTTACACGTTGAACTAAAATTAATGACATCCGAAAAATCAAGTAATTTATCTTCCAAAATATACACGATTATCTCTCCAGGTAACGAGATTATTGCGTCACTTGCCATGTCTTGTTACTCTGCCTTATAATATATGGCTAACTTTATTTCTCTCGTTTAAAAATTCGTAAGATATTTTTACATTTTCTAATAACATAATAATAATTTTAACTTTAAAAATCCATGCAATCGAAAGTTATATATATGTAAAATTATATTTTATGAGTTACTTCGACCGCCATTATGATTTTACTCACAGTTCATCCAATGAGAAGAGTTTCTTAAATCCTTCATAATGACATCATATATATCTTGCTTATGTTACCATTTTTACCGACATCTGAATAATTTTATTTAATTGCACAGATTTTCTGAATTTTAAGCTAGATTTATATTACAATGAGTTTATCTAAGAAATTTTTTGTTTTATTTATTCTACAGCATAGATAATTATTATAATTGCAGCTATTAATATTACTAGATATCGGTAAAAATGGTAGTATAAATAAGATATATATCAGAAAATTATAGATGAAAACCATAAATTCTTCTCATTGAATTATTAAAGAAACTGTCAATCTGAAATCACTATGACGATTGAAATAATCCGTAAAATATCGTAATATTTTCACATTTAATCCATTTGATATATTTTTTAATTTCAGATTCTTAAAATTAAAATTTTTATTTTTGAACTTTATTTGACAAATGTCAGAAATGTGATATAAATATATATCACAAATTTTTGATTCAAAAAAATAAATTAATTCAATATATAATTAAACTGATTCTTTATATATAAAATATTATATAAAATTGAGCGAAACACATTCTATATATATATTTGTCATTTCACTGCCTCGAAATTAAGAACTTTTGTCAGGATACTCAAATTAACACTTTTAGAAAAATACGCGGCTGACCAGGAAAATCGCACTGAAATGTTGTTTCTAGATAGATAAAACACTACTACAAAAATAATAGCAATACTCAGCTTGACAGCCAGTCAGTATTGTATGAATCATAAATATTAGCCAATAGGAATAAAATTCTCTTCTAAACTAAATATGAACTTCCAATAGTAGCATTTTATTGAAGCACAATCTACAAACTAATGAAAAGTATATGTATATATTACATATATCATAAATACTTATTTGTCTGAGATTAATACAAAATACAATTTCAAATATTATTCATATTAAATTATATAATGTCTTTGTTTCTAATGATATATTCAATTAATTTTTTTTTCTATATACGAAAATTGTAATATAATCTTAATTTTTATATTTTTAATTTGCATAAAAAATACTATTATTATTTTTTATATTTTATCATATAAAAATTTTAATGGGTTATTCAATATTTGAATTAATTTCAATATACATGGTAGAACATACTCTGACGAAGAGTCATACAATCGACTTCATCAATTTTTAATGTATTTGTTTTAACATTAATATCTTCTTCGATCTGAATTTGTGTTTTCAGTAAATAACGCAATGATGCCTGAGCCTAAAAGAATAAATATTATTATCATATATTATATATGAAATTAAATATGATCACAATAAATTAGAAAATGTAAAATATAGACCTCAAACATAGTTGCTTGCAATTTAGACGTAACATTCCGTAAATCATATACTTCCTTTACAAGATTATTTTCGACTAGATCTCGTGTAAGTTCTAATCCTGGTCTTTGACAACGATTACCGAGTCTCGTATGAGCCAAAGCTAAGAAACATTCTTTTTCTGCAATTGATTTTTCTATCCGCGTAATATTCTCCTTCATTTCTTCTGCTTGTCGCATTATCTGCATATATATATATTTTAATATCTTTTTTATTAAATATTTTTTTGTTGATTTGCATTCGAATTACTAAATATATTATAATGTTTATGTTCGCATTTATATAATGTCAGCTATTTTTACAATTTTTAAAATATATAATTAAAAATCTATGATTATACTATATACACACCTCAGAATGCTGTAATTCTAATTTTGTTTTTGCTTCTTTGGTTTCTTCGATGCGGCGTCTGAAAGCTTCATTAGTAGCATTTTTTTGTTCATTTAGATCATCGATTGCTTGTTTTATAATCGTATCGATATAACAACGCAAAGTTATAGCACAATTTACTTCTTTCGAAGCTGTCATGATATTGTTATTAGTTTGCATTTCCCATTCATTCAATTCGATAGTTCTTAATGAATAAAAATAAATTTTAATAAATCAGATAAATTTAAGAAATTAAAATGAATAAAAAACTTAAAAAAAATGATACTTACGATGGATCAAGTCGTGAACTGCCATGATAAATGCTTAAATTTAAACTAGTTTCTTTTAATGTTAAATTATGTTTGTCAATACGTAAATTATTTTCTTTATCTTCAAGTTCGTGATCCATATAATAAAGTGTCGCTTTTAATCGACGTATTTGTTCTTGAGTTTGTTCTAAAGTTCGAACTAATAAATTTTCGACACCCCTAATTACTTCGCATTCTTTTATCAATTCTTTTTCAACGTCATCATGAACTAAATCAATTCCTAATCTTTGTTCTCTATAGTTAAAATAACAATAAAAATACTACTTATTAAATTTTGTGGTCCAATTCTTAAGAAATTTAAAATATTTTAATGATTAAGATGTAGATTATACTTTTAATCAAATTAAGAAAATCATATTATTTGATCTATTCAAAAATCTATTTAAATTAATGAAAATAGATATATTTTTCTTTAACAGTTTCATATGCATACAAATCACCAATTATTATATCACCAATTATATTAATTTATATTTTCAATGTGATTTCGAAAAATATTTGCTGAACAATTATTTATTGTTTTTTCTCTATTTATTAAATCTTACCTAAAAACAAGACATTTTTCGCAAATAATAAGAGCACTTTTTCTTATGGATGATAAAGCATCCATAATACGTTCCTTATATATCGATAAAGTATCAATTTCAAGGATAACTTCTTTCCTTATACGTAATAGTTCCTTTTTACGGAATTCTATATCTCCAATTTTTTCTTTAAGTCTATGATCTGTTTCTTCTTTATTATTTTTTACTGTTTCAGAACTCAATTCACAAATACGTTGAGATTCATTAAGTAATCGATCTGCTAATTCTTGCTGCGCTTCCGAACATCGATATCTAGTAAATATTTTTTATGTTCAATTATTTTGTCTTTTTTATTATTTAAAACTTAGATGAAAAAAAAGATATTATTGTTTATCATTGAATATTCATACCTATGACGATTATTTAGATGCCACTGATATAAAGTAAACTTCAATGGAGGTGGAGGAACTAATTCAAGTGGACGATTGTTCATTTTATTTTTCAATTTCGAAAACACATACGAAGGAATAATGTTTTGTTAAAGCGACGGATTCTCAGGTTTGATCTATATATGAATGAATCAGTTCAAGTTTCTATAGAAACGTTTAATGTTTAACCTATGAATTAATTTTTTAAATTTATTTATAAGGAAATTATATATTAAGTATTACATTGCAATACAAACAAATTATTTTTACATGAAATAATATGGTTTTTATTAATGATTAAATAAATTATTTCTTAATTTATATGAACAAAAAATTATTTAAATACCAACTATAAATAAGGTGCAGAATATATCTTCGTTTTATAAAACTTCGCATCCCATGTTTTTAATTATCCTTGAATTGAATTATCTTACCATTTTCATGTTATACGTGACATTATCGGTTTAGTATAAGCGAAATTTCGAAAGCCTGTCACATCCAATTTGACTGAAACTTTGAAGATAGCTTCATTTTACATGATGTTTAGAAAAAAGATTTTTGACAATTTAAAAATTAAAATAAAAATTTAAAAATCCAAAATATTGCAAATATGTTTTATCATTTAGTATCATTTTCAATATTACCGACAGAACATAGAATTATAACAGAATTTAATATATCCGAATAAATTATTACTTTAAATTTATCTTTATTAATTTCATATTATATTTGCATATATCATCTAATAGTTGATAAAATAAATCCTCTCTGATTTTTATTCTATATCATAATATTCTATATCATATTCATATATACAATTAATTCATTTCCATATCTCCATAGAAAAATTCTTCGGATCTATGAAAATGAAATCCTGCGATTGAAATTGTGACCGAAATTACAATGATAAATATTAAATATAATATTGATATTGTTATTATTATAACTTTGACCATTATAATTTTGAAACTGAATAAAAAATATAAAACATAGAGAATTTAAGTATAACATAGTATAAATATTTTAAATATCAATAATCTAAGAAGAATTTTAAGATATTCTTATAGTAACAAGTATAAAATTCAGTTTATTTTAACTAATGTTATAATTTTATGTTATACTATATCGGTAACGAAGAGATGTTACATTAAAATATTTTTCGCAAAATTTGAATCTTAACTTTTGAATTGTTAAAAATCTTATTTTTAAAATGAAATATTTGAAAAAATTTCAATTAAATCATGATAAATTTTCAAAAATAGCCAAAAATTTCACTTTAAAAAATAAATATATAATAAAATATAATATAATATATAATATATATGTTTATTATTGTAGTAGTAGTAGTTTTGTAATATAAATTATAATTAATAATTATATGTATATATAATATATATATATTATAAAAAATAATATTATAATTTATATTTTAAAAATATTATAAAATGAAGATGAAATGAAATTTTTCTGTATTGTTGAAATATAACTTTTTTTTGAAAATTAATAAAAATATATTATTATTATACAAAATTATGATTTTTTGTACATATTACATAATGTAGATATATTCATTAGAAAAATTAAAAATCTGGAACCAAAATTTATGATTCAAATTTTCAGATAGGTTAGGTTTTAATATAGATATTTTAATGTCTCTATCAATTATAATCTGCAGTTAGAAATGATTTTTGAATTGATATCTTATTATTTTAATTTTATTTTTAATTTTATTCGTATGATAATTAACTAAAAATAAAGGAAATATAATAAAGATTGTGTCCTCTATTAAAAAATAGAATTAACACATTAATTATTATTGTATTTATTCGTCTTCTTGATAAATTTATAATTTTAAAATCTATAAAATAAATTATTATAAATGGAATGCATAATAATATTTTCGATTAAAATGTTTTGAAAAAATAATGGAAATATTATAAGAAATATATAAGTAATCATTCTTAAATGAAATGTTTGATTTTAAAATAAATCTGCACTTACACATATTATGTTTTATTTTACTTTTCCTTTAATTGATATAATAAGATGATGTTATCTATCTTTCTTAATTTATTCAATTTACATCAAATGGACATACAATATATAGTTAAGAATCCAAATGAAAATGCAAATGATAACTATGTTTCTTATCTATTTAATCTCTATAATCATGGTGAATGATGTTTTCGCTTTATTTTTTGATTTGCCGCGTATGCAATGCTATGATATAATGGCGGCTTCCGTTATAAGCATGTATGTAAAGT